TGGAGAGAGTTATAAAACAGGCAGCTGCAACATAACTACATACACACACCGATGACATACTTACACGACACAAGAAAACGTTCACTGGCTCACGTGAACACAACCAGAAGTAAACAGAATCCAATCATACGTCCTGCTTGCGTAAATTCGATTTTAATAATTCGTCAAATTCTTTTATACACGTGTGTCAGTTCGGCTGAAAGCAACAACACAAACAGAAGTGTAACAGCTTTCGGATAAAGATTATTGTGCGGCATGTATAACTTGTAGCAGAAGCTGAGATGGCTCAACGGTTGGCTGCCTTGGCATCTAGTCTGTGGTTATTTGATCTTCTTCGTCTTCGCTTCTTCTTCGCGTTCACCTGTTGTAAGTTTTTGTTTTTGGTCCTTTTATGAACTTTAGTCTTGTTCCAGAACTTGAGTTTTGAGTGCACATCTGTCTCACGTATCTGGCTTATATGCATGCAAACCGTTTATTCCTTGCATATCTGACAGCCGCATTCCGACTTCGAAAAACCACTTAGTTCGGAATCAGGTCTTCGCAGTTTCAACTTCATAGCCAACAGGTCACCCAAAAGTTTCTCCATTCCTGTGACTGAATGTCCATCACTGCCACTTGTGGAGAAAAATTATAGAAACTGCAGTCTATGCATATCCAAAAGCATACACACACATTAAATGCATCTGACAGCCATCAGAAGTACTAACACAAACAGTATGATACTAGAAATGTAGTTCATCGTCGATGGAAGCAGCATTTACAACAGTTCAATAGTTGCACACGCAATTAATCGCATTAGTAGCCACCAGTTAGTGCTGGGGTAAAATGCCACTCGCCATTTTCTGAATCTACAGTTTACAATATAAACCACATTTGTCACAGTCGAAACACATTCAAAATGAAAAATGCAGCTTACAGTGTCGCATCATTTACTAAACTCAGTAGCTGGGCGACGAAACTATATAATATGAGTCTGCATATGGAGAAAAATGCAATAGCAAACCATTGTTAATAGCAAAAATCTTGCCACAACTAAAAACAGTAAATCACCTGTCCTCCATAATGACCGGATATCACCCCAAATGCGACGCCTTCTATAACATGTTTGTTAGGGGAGCCTAACCCCCCTCCAACACACACACACACACACACACACACACACACACACACACACACACACACAATGGTGCCCCAGAACCCCCACCAGGAGGTTATAGGAGATCAAATTTACCTCAAAGCAGATTTCTCAAATCTGTCAAGTTCTCTGAAGTAGATCTCAAGATATCATATTAACTAGGCAATAATGGCAGCCGCCGTGACGTCACTCATTGTTTCCCGATTAGTTTACAAGAACATGGGCAAGCCTCCGATAGCTAACATACTTGCAACATGTGCGGGCACGAGTTCTGTATAGGACTGACTTGTATATATTGAGCAGTAGTAGTTATACTATCAAATAGAACACACGAAGAGGAGGTGAGCTCACGGAGAACTAGTGTATTTGTAGGATAGGCAATCATTATGTGGGGGGCAGGTGATTGTGTGCCTTTAAGATCACGTGTCGATGACTAGACTGAAAAAAGAGACTAGATAAAATGGACTGAAATCAGACAGAGGAACGGAGGAGACGACAGACGAGCACCATATAGTCGTACGGGGACCTGCTGTCCCAGAAAAGGGCCAGCTACACAGGTAAGAGCCTGTATAGAACGTTGTTTGTTTGTTTGTTTGTTTTAGTATCCAGAAGCCATGAGTTGTTAACCCTTAGGCTCGATATTATGGATATCGCAACCTTTCGGCCTTGATTCCATTTTAAATACCGTAAATCTGGGAGAAATGTGGCTTTTCTGCCCACCCCCGGGAGTGAACCCAGACCACAAGGAGTTCGTCACCTGGTCAATGCGCAATCCCGTTTAGCCAACTACGCTAGAGATGGGCATAGAACGTTAGTAGAGTATGGCATATAATATGTTTGCAACAGTTGTCCTAAACGGTGATGGAATATGATATAAAATTAAATTATCACAATAGAGACACTGTGTCAGTGAATGAACTTTTAAATATATCTTCGTGGTATTTAGTACTAGAGAGAAATCGACAGATTTTTGTCTTAGAAAAACTATCAGATAACTGTGAATTTGATGCTGATGTTTGCACTACCAAGGACTTTAATAAATTGATTAATACGGCATTTGCCTCTGTGATAATCTAGTTGTGGTGTAGGAAATTGTCTAAGCTCAGCAAAAGTATACACAGAGTGGAAGTAAATACAGTAATCGTTATCCACCTTTGCCGGAACTGGGAAAATTGAAGGAAGCATAGTAATCTGTTGAGATGCTATCACAAGATGATCCGTTGAGAATCTCACGAATGATCGATCCAAAAATAGTCGAGCATTTGACTTTCAGTTTGAATAAATAATGTTAAACTTCTCCACGTCTGCCACAATTCCGCCAAAGTGGAAAATGCTTCTGTACTGGATGGTCCACCTATATGTTGTGGGAAGCTATTTAACCATAGCCAATAGAACAATTGATGCTGCCCAAGCACACGTCCGTCGTAAAAAACAACACAGAATAAATTGGGTGGTTTGTTTACACGTTGCTAGGTGGAAACGAGTAAATTGTTGTTGGCACGTGAGGCAATGAAATGGGGAGAAGGGGCTGTGAGGTATCACTCTAACAATATGAGAACAGCTTTTGTTTAGTTCTTGGAAAAAGCAGCGTTAGTTTTATTCTTTCTACAATAACAGGAGATTAACAGACATGAATGGTCCTGTTGTTTGTGTATGTGTCCACCACTGACTACTTGTTGTGTTAACATTTCGACGTTCTTGGGTCGCTGCCTTAGTTACACGATGTTCTTATTCTTCATGTTTACCGAATGTAAACTCCGGTGGAAATTTCTGGGTGTTCGTCCACCACCTGACTTTAGTCTTGTTCCAGAAACAGCGTGTTGCGTGCGCATCCGTTTCACAGATCTGGCTTACATATTTATATGCAGAGTCTTGCTTCCTCACCTGTGAGGCAGATGCACTCTGACTTCAAAGAATGTCCCCAATTATTCGACTCCTACGACATGCTTGCTTGAGAAGCAGCAGGTCTCTTCTTGTCCTCCCCCTCCCCATCCCCCACAATGGAGCCCTTGAAGCCACACAAGGACCATGATGTGCACCCATTTCATCGACGTGTTAACTGTTGCCTGTCCTCGCCGCCCAAGTCAAGGTTCTAGTGAAGTGGTGTTCGCCACACGCAAACATGAAATGGTTGCATTGTAAATACTGAAGTAAAGTAAACATAAAAAGTTAGGATCTTTGTTCCACGCCTTTAGGCGTATAGGGCATATAGGGCTAGACCTATATTTTATAGACCAATCGGCACAAGGTTGGGTCAACCTGGGAGCCAAGGTCATTTTTAAAAAAGTTCATCTCCGCCAGCGATTGAACGAACCCAAGACCTTCCGATCTGCCCTATATAATTGACGATTACCTTTCTTGCTTCCTATTATCTTTGACGGTTACCTTTCATGTTTTCTGTTCTCTTTGACGCTTACCTTTCATGTTTCCTGTTCTCTTTGACGTTTACCTTTTATGCCTGCTATACTCTTTGACGCTTACCTTTCATGTTTCCTGTTCTCTTTGACGTTTACCTTTTATGCCTGCTATACTCTTTGACGCTTACCTTTCATGTTTCCTGTTCTCTTTGACGTTTACCTTTTATGCCTGCTATACTCTTTGACGCTTACCTTTCATGTTTCCTATTCTCCTTGACGCGCACCTTTCATGTTTCCTATTTTCTTTCACGCTAACCTTGATTCCTATTTTACGCTCACCTTTCACCTTTCACGTCTCCTACTTCCTTTACACGTACCTTTCATGAGTTCTATTCCTTTTGACGCTAACCTTTCATGAGTTCTATTCCTTTTGACGCCAAAGAAATACAGAAACATCGTCAACCACATGCCACAAAAGCACGGACACACAGAGACAACCACGTAGAAATCCTGCGTTAGCTACGTCATCAGGAACAAACAACACAAACAGGATTGTTTCCCTTATCTTAGATACGAAAATTCGGATGTTGAATAAATCAATCACAGATCGATGGTCACGGCTGACTCGTGAAATTATCGATCATCGTTTGTTCGATCAATAATTTCTGGGAAGATCAGAATTAACATCTCTTTCGTTTTGGTTGTTTGTCAATTAAAGTATACACATTTATTGCAGGTACTTCAGACATGACCTTCACTTACAGGTCGCCAAGCGTTAAATGGGTGCCAGGCAAAGTGCTGGGAAATAAAGGCGGCTGTCGTGAGGTTCACCATCACCCACAGAGTGCTGATTGCTATAGCTACGGAGGTCGTGCTTTATGCAACACTCGGCAGGCAACCAGCCGTTCTGCAGAGAGAGGCCGAGCCATTTAGAATAAAACCTGGTGCAACAGAGCCGATTCTCTCGACTTTATCCTTCAACTTTAAATCCAGCAATACCATTACCAACAATAACAACACCAGCAGCAACACAAACATCAACGCCATAATCAGCAACAACAATCCCAACAATGAAATAATGGTCAAAACAAACAACCAATCAGCGCACCAATCAACGAGCTATTCAATACATCGGTCAAGCGACCAATCACAGAACAACAAAATAAACAACCAATCAGCGCACCAATCAACGAGCTATTCAATACATCGGTCAAGCGACCAATCACAGAACCACAAAATAAACAACCAATCAGCGCACCAATCAACAAGCTATTCAATACATCGGTCAAGCGACCAATCACAGAACCACAAAACAAACACAATAATTAGACCAAGAAAACATCTTTTGTACAAACGGTTTTATTCTTTATGTAAAATAGTTTAAAAAAAACATACTTATTATAAAATGTGTTAAAAATAGTAGTAAATATATTTATTATAAAATAAAGTTATATATCAAGTAATAGTTTTGTCACACAGGAACAGCGAACTTTGACCTCTCTGCCACG